AATCACAGCGATTCACAATCTCGATAACTTCACACACTAGCTCGAAACAGAATCGTAAATTATCCGAAACTCTCTTCGTTCATCCCCGCAAGCTATCTCTGCCAGGGTTATATACTAAAGAAGAGTGCGTCTCGAATACACTCGTGCTTTCCCGATCATTCATGATCATTCGAGAAATTCATCACGTGTCACCAGGGTCACGTGACTTCCGCTGTCGTAACACTGTTATCTTTGATATACTCAACTTCAACAGGATGTAACTCACATTTTACATATAAAGCCACTCCTTCCCCTCACTTTAATGCTCTATTCCTATTAAATAGCCCGTAACCCTGTATTTCAGAGAGTTAGATCTGACTGGATCACAGTTACAAGCGGTGTGTCTCAAGGCTCTGTGCTGGGTCCTCTGCTGTTTTTGATTTATATTAATGATATTGACTCTGGAATGACTAACAAAAGTTTGCAGATGACATTAAGATTTTAGGAGTGGCTATCTGTATCTGCAGACTTACAGGGAGATTTAGATCAATTGATGCATTGGGCCAATACGTGGCAGATGATGTTTAACTATCCATAATGTAAAGTGATGCATGTAGGTAGTTACAATTCAAATTATTCTTATGATTTAATTAGGAATACAGTAAATACTGTGGTTGAAAAATATATATTGGTTTTGTGATCGAAAAATCTGTTTAGTCATCTAAACAGTGTATTGTAGCTAGCAAAAGGGCTAATACGATTTTGGGTAGCAACTATAGAAATATTGAATATAAGACAAGATATTTTATTGTTTCACTGTATAGATCACTTGTATGGCCTCATTTAGAGAAGAGCCACTAGGATGATACCTGGGATGGTGGGATTGTTCTATGAGAAAATATTAAAATCTCTAAACTTGTTTTGTCTGGAGAGGAGAACTGTCAGAAAGGATTTGATTGAAGTGTTTAAGATTATTAAGGGTATTGATAATATATATCCATCAAACTTGTTTGGGTTTAGCATTGAAAACGATAGGACAAGGGGTCATAAATTCAAATTTTGGCAGCATAGGAGTCGTCTGCAGTTTAGACAGTATTAATTTTCAAACAGAGTGGTTGGCTTTTTAAATGAGCTTTCTTCAAGGACGGTGGAGGCAGAAAATGTAAATGAGTTCAAGAACAGATTGGATGAATACATGAGTAGTAAGGGGTGGTTATAGTTGGGAGCTGGTAGGGACATCCTCGATGGGCTAATAAGCTCTTTATGTCTCTTTAAAATTTTATGAAATTTATGAAGAATGTTTTTATATATTGCCAGTAAAAATAACAGTTTTCTTACGCTGTCAGTGTGATTAATTTTTTTTTATATATACTATCAGTGTGAGAAACAATTTTCATATAATGTCAGTGTGCATAAGAATGTTTTTATATATATTGCCAGTGTACATTAAAATGTTTTACACTGTCAGTGTGTTTAAAATATTGTATATATTGTCAGTGAGAGTAACAATTTTTTCTTATATTGTCAATGTGTATAACAATTTTTCTTATATTGTCAATGTGTATAACAATTTTACTTATGTTGTCAATGTGTATAACAATTTTACTTATGTTGTCAATATGTATAAAACTTTTACTTATGTTGTCAGTGAGTGTAACAAGTGTTTTTATGTTGTCAATGTAGATATGAATTCTCTGTATAATGTGGGTACATTTATCAATTCTATAGACAGGGGTTTCAAAATTGTGTCTGTGAAGTATGCACATTTTATTTGGTGACTACTGCGGCATGGAGCATTCATGGGGGCTGGATGCACAGTATTTCGAAAAACATGATCTGCTATTATTTCCCAAGATTTTGTTACAAGTATAACTTTTTCACACCAAAAGTTATCGTCTACAAATAAAACCCTCCAATTTTCAAAAGTCGAGAAAAGGGAAAGATTGGGTTTATGAGAAAAGTTTCTCTTCCTGCTCTATGGAAAAAAACCTCTATCTATGTATTATCAATATATGTAACACTTACCTATTTATCTATCGATATCTTGTGAATTCAAGGACATAATATCTTTCATATATATATTGTTACATATCTGCTTGTTTGTTAATTTCCGGTATAAATTCTTTCCGAGGCACTTCAGCGATACAAGTCCTTTCTTAATTAAAACAGTTTATTCTTCCTCGATACAACTTTTTTGTAATACACAGAATTTCCAATCAGTACGTTAAACTTAACAACTTTTATAACACACGCTATAAATCACAGTGATTCACACACTTTCTTACGGTGCCTACTGTTTGTTTGACTCAATTATCTATATCTTCAATCCCGCTGGTTTTTCTCGATAGGCTTATATACTAAAAAAGAGGGCGTCTAGCAAACACTCGGACATTAGCGGGGTTCCTCGATAATTCGAGAAACTCCAGCGCGCATGCTCTCAGCGTCACGCGACTTCCGCTGTTGTAACAATATTCTGTGTATATTGCCAGTGTATATCATTTCTATTGAGACCCACTTTTTAAAATAAACTCAACTTGTTTTCCTGTATTTTCACATAATCTCGAAGGATCATCAATTTGCCCGGCAACACAGGGAAGATGCCACGGCAGGAAAAGCATCTACCCAAAAAGGTTGTTGGAACTGTGGAGAGCAAGGACATATGAGGAGCTAGTGTAAGAAAAATACTACCAATAAGTCAGCTTCGGCAAACCAGTAATGATTGGTGGTGAGGGATGCCCACCAAACCCCATTTTGAAAGTCCCAACATCTAAGTATAAAATGGTAAGCACACATAGTGCCTACGTGACAGGAAAGCTGGGTGGTCAAAAGTGCAACTTTGTCATAGATTCTGCATCTCAGCAAACCCTTGTAAGT